GTCCACGGGTAGACGTTGTTGTAGGTTCCACTACCCCCGTGAGCAATCTTTCAACTACTCTGCCTTCATATAATGCTCAAGATGTAGGCCCTCAGAATCCTCCTGTAGAACCTCTGTCGGTGGTGGCAGAGGAGACTTGTCCTACTTCACCTATCCTAGAACGTATCATTGATGTAACGGTTAGCAATCTTGTGGTGGAGTGTCCAGCCCTAGGTGTGCCCCAACTACAAGTTCAACATTCTACCTTACGTGTGCTCTCTACTGCGGCCCTGCCACCTCATTAGATCGAGCAAGTTGTTATTGTCATTGAGGCACAAGGGGCACAAGATGTGCAACAGCCTACACATGCCCAGCAATCTTTGGACCATGGCACTGATCAAATGAGTTAGCCTTCAGATGAGGAATAAAAAGTTTACACATCCAGGGAGAAAAAGAAGGATAGAGGTCTGCTGGAACTCAAGAATTTATTGGATAATACCTTAGTTATCTCGGGTAATTGCAGTAGACTTAGCCATTTGTTAACTGACTCCTTACTTATAACAAGAGGTAAGAGGTATAGATACATTGAGTCATTTCTCATGCTCTTTTATGTGTGACTCTCCGAGTGTTTGGAGAGTTTTGGAGTAAAGTTTACTTGTCTAGGTTTTAATTTGTTTTTGGTTATACATTTAATTTTTTGGGACCTTGGTGTGTGTTGTATATTGGGTGCTTTATTTTAATTCGTTTTTGTGTAGACCCTCACATCCACTTATCTGTACCTTTCCTTTTTAATATATTTTCCCTTAGGCTTTTTAACACACACACACACACACACACACAGGTATGTGTCATCGTTGATAAGAACAATGATCAACTTAATTGTTGGAGTTCATCTTTTATGTCTAATGGAGGCAGGATGGCATTGCTTAAAAGTATTCTTACTTCATTCCCTTCAAAGATCATGCAAATGACTATAATGAAGAAAAGTACTCGGTTGCTACTGAAGAGGAGCTTCAACAGGTTCCTATGGGCTGGTCAGAGGAAACAAATGCATTGAGTTTGTCGGCAGAAGGTTTGCAAGCCTATTGTTGTTGGTGGTCTGGGTTTAAAAGGCCTACAACACCTAAGCAATGCCAATTTCTGTAAGCTAAAGATCAAATTCAGGCAACAAGTCTCTTTATGGGCTAGATATATGAAGGGAAAGTACTGCAGGGAAGTTCACCCTACCCTTGTAAACAAGAAGTAGGGAGATTCTAGAATTTGGGTGAAATTTCTGAAGGTTAGATCTTAAGCTGAAGAAATGTTCATCTGGGAATTGGGGGAAGGGCAACTCAATTTTTGGTTGGATAATTGGTCTTTAAAAGGAAAGCTGATTCACAAGGTTCCCATCAGCTAAAAGTGGTTAACTGTTGGAGGGATAATGATTGGTGTGAATCTCTCTTATCTTTTATATTAAGAGAATCCCATTTGATAACATTTCTAAGAATAAAATCATTGTTAAAAAGGCTGCTTCCCAAACTATTTCTTCTATCATTTACCAAATGAATTAAAATTGGGGTAGCAATCAATGGGGCAAATCTATTTGGAATAAGTTTCTAACACCATTTATTTCCTTCTTCATTTGGAGGCACTTTCATAAACTTCTCCCAACTAATGATATCCTCAAAGTTAAAGGGGTAAGAGGTCCTTCTTGGGGTGCTTTATGTAAATTCGAGGAAAAAACTGTGGCTCGTCTATTTTTTAGTTGTCCATTTGCTCAAGTTGTGTGGAAATATGTAGAAGGCCAGCTCTCCATTCCCACACTTAAGCTTAGTTGGCTTTGGTGGATTGTTGGTCGGATTGACAGGAGGCCCATCTCTCTCTTATCTCAGGCGTAATAGCTTGGTTCATCTGGATGGCTAGGAATAAGTCTAAATTTGAGGACACTACTTTGTCAACTCTTCAGGTTGTCAGTAACTGCATGGCTTTCCTCTGAAATTGATTAAGCTTAAAGGCTTTCCCAACGTTTGTCCTAAGTTGGGGCCATTGAGGAATAATCCATCTAGTCGTATAGTCTCAATTGTTCTCTGGCAGAAGTCTATTCACCCCTGGATTAAAATCAATACTGATGGCAGTTTTTTCCAGGATGAGGTCGACATTGTTGTGTTTAAGTACCATTTGGGGTGCTGCTTTCTACATTTCCAATCTCGTGTTGTGGCCCAGGATGCTTTGGAAGCTGAGGCTATTGTTGTGTTTTGGGCTCTTAAACTCTTTCTATTTGGTAAGTTGCTCTTCATTCATATAGAATCCGACTCTCAATCGCTGGTACTGATCTTAATCGCTCAGGTAGCTCCTTCTTAGCACGTTTCTTATTGGATACAAAGAATCAAGAAATTGGCTAGATAGTTATCAACAAGGTTTCATTTATTCCAAGGGAAGGGAATAGACCTGCTAATTGGCTAGCTAAATTGGGTAGAATGAATGATGTGATTGCTATCACAAGAACCCCCTCTTCTCCTCTTTTTTACTTTTTCTTGGGGATAATTTGACCATCCTATATCTTAGAGCATGTAACCTTCAGAGTAATGAATTTGATACTTCTATATACCTACTTTGGTAGGCTTATACAGGTGTGTGTGTGTGTGTGTGTGTGTGTATACATATATATATTTGTGTGTGTGTGATACAACAAAACAATCTTTATCCAACTAAGTGGGACAAAGATTGCGTCTCACTAAGTCGGCTAGCTGAATTCTTTTTCTCCGCTGCGTCCTATTTAGTGTCATATTTTTATTTAATCCTAATAAATTAAGATCATTTTTTATACAATATGCCCAAGTCATCCTAGGTCTATCTCTGTCTTTCTTAACATAAGTCGAATCTAGAACATCTACTTTTCTAATCGGATCATCAGATGATCGATTTTTAATGTGACCAAACCATCTAAGACGACTCTCTTTAATTTTGTCCGTCACTGGAGCTCCACCAACCCTATCACGGAAACATTCATTTTGCATTTTGTCTCTAAGTGTAAAGCCACTCATCTCGACAACACTCCAGCATTCAACACCATAGAGCATTGCACGTCTCGCCACCATCTTATAAAATTTTCCTTTTAGTCTAAGCGGTATTTTTCTATCACACAATAGGCCCGAAGCATTTCTCCATTTCAACCAACCAACTTGATTCTACTAATAACATCCCCATCGATATCACGATCACTTTGAACAATAGACCCGAGATATCTAAAAAGTTCACACCTTTTAATAATTTGATCACCCATAGTTACATTTTTGTTTAGAGCTGCTACTACTAAAATTATATTCCATGCATTCAGTTTTAGTTCTACTCAAACGAAGGCCTTTAGACTCCAAGGTAGACCTCCATAATTCAAGTTGTTCCTGAAATTTTTCTCTCGTCTTATCCACGAGAAGGATATCATCAGCAAAAAGCATACACCAAAGTAGATCCTCCTGTAAGTGTCTAGTAAGACCATCCATAACTAAAGCAAAAAGCCGATCCCTGTTGTAAACCAACATAAATTAGGAAAATATTTGGTCAATCCTCCTTCTATTCGAACACAGGTAATAGTTCTTGTATGCATATCTTTAATGACTTAAATATACGTCATATCAATATCTTTCTTCTCAAGAACTCTACAAAGGATATCTCTTGGAACTTTATCATAAGCTTTTTCTAAATCAATAAAAATCTTATGCAGGTTCCCCTTATTATCTCTGAACTTCTCCATCAAACCTCTCAATGAATGAATAACTTCCATAGTAGACCTGTCCGGCATAAATCCAAATTCATTATGAGAAATCTTTGTAACATGTCTTAACCTATGTTCAATTACCATCTCCCATATTTTTAAAAAATGACACATCAACTTAATTCCTAAATAATTGGCCCACTCTTGTGCATCCCCTTTATTCCTAAAAAAGAGGACCAAAATACTCTTCATTCACTCCTCGTGCATCTTTTTAGTTTTCAAAATAATATTAAAGAGTTTAGTAAGTTATGAAACTCCTCAATCTCCTAAATATTTTCACACTTCAATTGGTATATCATCAGGGCCTACAGACTTTTCACCCTTGGTTTTTTTAAAATTTCTCAACTTCTTTTTCACTAATGCGACGATAAAAATGAAATATTTTATTATTATTAATGATATTAAGATTACTAAGGTCAATCATATTTTTCAAACTTCATTAAAAAGCTTATCAAAATAACTCACCTACCTACTTTGAAAATCTTTTTTCTAGGAAAAGCACTTTTTTATTTTTATATTTAATACACTTTAGTTGAGTTAAATCTTTACTTTTCTTTTCTCTTTGTTTAGCTAGTTTATTCATATAATTTATACCCTCCTTAGTATTTAATCCATCATAAGGATCACTAAAAGCAAAATTTTTAGCGTCACCGATTGTTCTCTTAGACTCCCTACGGGTTGTTTGACATTTTTCTCAATTCTCCAAGCTTTTACATTTAAACATTTAAACCAATTTTTATACAATTTTTATAACAAACCTTACATTTTATCTTTTCTTGCACATTATTATTCCACCACCAACTTTTATTTATAGAAACTTTATATTTTGATTCTCCAAGTACAACTTTTGTCACTTGTTTAATGATTTTGTTGCTTTATCCCACATAGAATTTGCTTCTTCATGAACATTTAAATTTTTGAATTTTATTCGTAATAATAATTTTTTTGTCTTTTAGGCACTGACATCTAATTCTACGACACCCTCATCTTATTCTACAACAATGATTCCTAGTATTTTTTATTTTACAACTCTTCGTATTAAAATCTAGAACTAACAATCGATGTTGAGTGCTTATATATATATAATCCATCATCATATAACAATACAAGATGTATATAACAATACAAGATGTACTAACAAAGAGAACAGATTATTGAAATACGCAATAAGTTAAGCTAGCAGTAATAAAAACACTAATATGAAACATCCTTTATAAAACACACATGCTTCTTGGTATCATTTTATGCATATAAACTACTGAATGCAAACCTCTTCTTTAACAAGCTCCTCGGCCACAACAAGCTCACCAAGTTCTGGACCTGCTCCAGGATTCTTATCCACATTTGATGGAAGTTTCCATGCATCTATTATTGACTTTAAACCAAAGAATGCAAGAAGAGCTGCAGCAGCATACTCTCCAATTGGTAATGCTGCAAGTATTGTTCGACATTTACTAAAAATAGATGAACAATGGAGTCTTTACAGATTTAATTAAATTTTTTATTATCCTACTAAGAAATTTGAAATAGAAAAATGTAATCCTTCCCAGAACAGATGAAAGATATTGGAAGAAAAAAAAGGAAAATTAAACAACACCAAATAAATAAAGTCTTCAAAATTGCATATTTGATCCACAAATAAAAAATGATAATCAACAAGCATTATCCAAACTATCAAACACAGCTTAAGCCATACGGATGATAAAATGGCTAGCCTTCCCATGTTCATTCACTGCTATCAAAGCTAAGCAGGGCTTCCATGTTTAACCAGTTCAACCAAAATGGTATCCCGGTCTAGTTATATCTATAGACGGATGAAAGCTTTTGAAAGTATATGGTTTTTATTTTCATTTAGTCAAGTTTCAAGCTCCATGCTAGCTCTAAATAATTTTCAATCGATTTTGAATAAACTTGCTAAACATAAATTTGAATCAACTTAAAATAACCATTAATATGATTTATTTTTTAGAGCTAAAAAAGGATTGTCACGCAACCATACTATTATGGAATAAGTAGTTTGGCTTGGCCAGAAGAAGTCCGATTCATGAGTTGTGCAGTCTTTTTTATGTAGCAGCAGAGGTCCCATTCATAACTCATACAATCTTTTTGACCTCTTCATGTGCAAATTTGTTGACCGTTTGATAGGAATCATGTTGACTCAAGGGCCTGTAGTTTACACATTTCCTAGATACTAGGATAAATAAGAAGCAAAGAAGTTAAGGCAATGATTATTTTAGGATTCTACTTCTCTATTCCAGAAAAATCAAGGAGGTGAAAACAAAGATTTATTTTACTTTCTTTGCCTTTGGCACTCAGGAATTCCAAGTCACCAACTCTCAAGTACTAACCTTGTTTTAAATTGTGTAATAGAAGGCCCACATTGAGGCACGCCTTTGGCATGGAATCCAAGGGAGGTTTGCGCCTCAATGTGGCCTAAAAAATTACAGTTAGATATAGGATGTTAATATATTACTTTTTATTTTATTTAATTTATTACTTCTTATTATATTAGGATGTTAATATTTGCATTTTAATGTGTTAAAATGTTAGGATATAAATATGTTCTTATTTTACATTTTAAAGTTTAGACAATATTTTTTTCTTTAACATAATCATTTTAGTGAGAGACTTACTCCTCAAGATACTTCAAGATTTACAACTCATCTCATAGACAAAAAATGCCTCAAAACTTCCATCTTGAGTATTCAATTTTAAACCTAGTTGTTAGCCCTCTGCCTTTCTTTCCATCTTACCTTCTTAAGGAGGCAACTTGAGGAAGTGCTCCATTTTAGGATTTCTCTTCCTCATTTCTGTGAAGGCAAAAAGTGAGGATGAGAAAGCATTTAGGGATCTTATTGTTGTCATAACCAAATTTAAATATTAATAATATTAAAATAAATGGGTATTTTTGAAACAATGGCATGGGTTCGAATTACTTTCTCGACAGTTTCTTCATTTGTAAAATTTAATGTAGTCTCATTGGAAAGTGAAGGGGGTCAGAAGGAGAGAGAGAAAGAGAGAGAGAGAACCGTGAGAGTTAGATATCTCGCTCGTAGGAGAGGGAAGAACTGTCATGAGTTTCTCCCAAAAAAAATAAAAAATAAAAAGGGTAGAGGACTCTGTGGAGGCTCACAAGTGCAGTCAAGGAGTCATGCCTAGCCGAGCAAAGAGGAAGAAAGAAGCAAATGACAATGAAAGAGAAGGCGCTTGTCGAGGTCGAAGTCAAGCGAGGGAAGGTCATTTGTGTGTGCTCGAGAAGAAAAAGAAATAGAAGAAGCTAACGGAGGAGAAAGTAAGGGTGTAACAGAACTGAATACAAACAAACAAAGCTCGTGTTCGTGTTCAGTTCATTTGAAATTAAGTGTGCTTGAAATAGGCTCGTGCTCGAAATTGTTCGTGAAGTTATTTTTTGTATTCGGTTCGATTTGTTTGAAATTAATTCGAAATGTTTGAAATGTTCGAATTGTTCTAATTATTTGAATTGTTTGAATTGTTTGAAATCATTCAAATATATTTGTATTGTTTGAATTGTTAAGTTGATAATAAATTTAATTATTAATTTTCACATAACTTGTCAACATAAAAATCGTCACAAAAAAAAAGTAGATGGAATCATTCCTATGCTACTAGACTTGGAATACACATTTGATGGAAGTTTCCATGCATCTATTATTTCAACATCATTAATGAGTTATGGGGGTTCTCAGAAAAATCTTATGTCCACCATACTTGAACTTGAGTAATTGGAAGCCACCAAAAGCTGCAGAACTTTAGAAAAAGTAAGAGTTAGACGTTTAATATTTGCTTATTTGTATTACTTCAAAGAATCAATGCAACCATTTAAGCTTGGCTTGGAAACATTGTCATAGATTAACTCAGGTTTTGTGTAAAATTAAGGTGCAGTTTTGTATAAAATCAGTTATAACACACTCGGCTGTACAGAGAGATCATAACAATACATAAATCATAATGTTTAAATGTTTTATATGTCATATGAACTAAATAAGAATTATGTGGTATGTATGTAAATGTCTCCTGGAAGTTTCTAAAAAGAAAGGATTTCTTTTCTAATTTGAGATCTATAGTGATAGCAACATGACATAAACCATAATGTTTAAAGGTTAGACATGCCATATGTAATTATATAAGAATTATGTGGTATGTATGTAAATTTCTCTTGAAAGTTTCAAAAAAGAAAGGATTTTTTTTTCTAATTTGCAGGTAAGGTCATAGATTTCAGCAATGCTGATGTTGCTATTGATCACTATCACAGATATGAGGTCAAGCTTAATATCAGTTTGCTCAATTAAGGAGAAAAGAAAAGTAAATATTGTTTAAATAGGGCAGAATATTTGATGCAAGAAGATGCGCAGCTCATGGCTGATATTGGAATAGATGCTTGCAGGTTTTCAAGTGCTTGTCCCGTATTTTTCCAAGTAATTTAAGCAATAGTCGACTCACAGCACATAAGCTTAAACCAATATGAAATTAATGCTTAAAAATGTATGAATCACAACACAAATGCACAATAGCCGAAGCACAACTTGCAACAAAACCATAATATCAGATCTCATCCATAAAAAATTCTGATCTAGAGGCAATATGTGAGATTTCACTCCCAAAAACTTCAAAAACTAGGTTTCACTCAAAAAAAAACTAAATAATATAAAAGAAATATAAGAAAATTTAAGCTACGAGGCGAACCTAAAGATAAATATGAAATATTAAAGAAAAGATACTCAAAGATGACACCACGGTAGTCTTACAAGCAACCAAGCAAAAATATCGAGCAACCAAGCAAGAATAACAAGCAGTCGATCCAACGCCGAGTCGCCTACTCACCGAAGACAAAGAAACTTTATCGAAGACAAATAGAAGTAAGAGATTAGAGAACGAACACAAACGACAAACCCTTAGTGCTCGTGGCTGAAAGTTTTTCGTGATTTTGAGAGGAGGAGAAGAATTAGAAAAAGAGGAGGCGGCCGAAACCTATAGCTTTCAAGAAGAGAAAGGGAGAAGAATTAGAAGAAGAGGAGGTGGCCGAAACCTATAGCTTTCAAGAAGAGAAAGGGAGGCCGGTTGGGGCAAAAGGGCCTAGGTTTTTTTTTTTTTTTTGTCCATACATATAGTATATTAATATATTATATTAAATGTATAACTTATAATATATAAATATATAATATTTATACAACTAATATTAATATATTATTATTATTAATTAATTATACATTATAATTTATAGGATTTAATTTTTTAAAATATAATAAATTTTTATAGTATATAATTATTTTTAAATTATTTTATATTTCAAATAATAAGAATTCGAACACTATCGAATACATGACTGTTTGTGTTTCGTTCATTTAAAAAACGAACGAAAAAAAATCGTTCGTGCTCGTCTCGCTTGCTTATCAAACGAGCCGAACATGAACTCCCTAACGAGCCGAACATGAACTCCCTAACGAGCCGAACACGAACTGTTCGCAAACAACGAGCTTTTTTGACATCCCTAGGAGTTTCCTGTTGTGTGAAGAAGCTTCCCGCACTTAATCTGCCACGAGCTATAGAAGGGGGAGGAGAAAGAGGTGCAACTTGCATGCGTGCCGAACCGAGCATTTAAGGTTAGGGTAAGTTATAATTTCAGATTTAATTAATTTAAATAGATATTATGGCTTTTATTAATTTATAACAAGAACATTAATCGAAGAACTCTTACTTTGTAAAATTAGAAGACGGAAATTATTGATTTCACACAAGAAGGAGAAGGTAAATATTTTTGGTTATTGTGAAATTCTTTTAATAAATAAGTATATTGAATTAGTATTAAGATTAATGTTTAATAATTAAAATTCTGAATCAGAAAATTTAAAGTTGAAAATCTTTGGATGGTGGAAGAAGAAGAGGAGGATCGAGCAAGGATTGTATGGAGATTGTGTCATCGACGAGTGCTAAAGAGGAAAGAATTGAAGTTGATGCTTTTTTTTTAAGAAACTTACGTTAATTAAAAGTGTGTTAAACTTAAATTTTGAATCAATATCTAGGAATTTTGAAAAAGTGCAACAAGTGTTTATTAAAGAATAATAAAGGGTAATTCAAGAGAGAGAAAGATAATCAGACTTTAGGCAAGGAATTACTTTCTTATGTGTATTAAATCAATGTTTTATTTAAAAAGATGTTACATTATTGTCATAAAAACATCAGTTTTTTTTATTATATACATATTAAAATTTAAATGACCTTTGAAATGAAAATAAATAAAACGGGAAAGGATAAATAGTTGTTTGATGACTTTAAATGGATAAAATAAAAAAAATGAAATGTCAAATAATTAAGCTATTCAGAATGTGATCTTTCATGGTGCTAGTTGTAGAAACTATTGTATTCATGCACAAAAAATAAATATAAATAGTAAATATGTACCTTCAAATGCA